GAGCTATCTACCCTATTTTACTCAAAGACCTTTCTTATGTTTTTAACCCTTTTAACAGTGTTGCTTCACCATTGTATTTGGTGAACAACCTTGTGTTAGGATGTTAACGGGACAGGCGCGGGTCATCGTGTGCAATCATTGAAGGCAACTTGTGAGACGCTCTAGCAATTTTGTAAGGGACGAGATTGTTTTATCGAAGGCAACATCGAGGGTCATCGAGGGACTAACGATATTTGTTTATCGAAGGGAAATTTTCTAGAGTGTCTCATACTCGAGGGACATGATTTCATTTTCCGAGGCAACAAGCGAGATTACCCTAAGGGTGCATGTGTGAATAGTGTGTTTGATTTGCATGCATTTTGTCTTGATTAGGGGTTTCCTACTTGTTGGTTTTATCTTTCCATACACACCTATTTACTAGCATTTGTATAAAGCAATAAAAATGTAGCAAATAAATATCCTACACTATTACAACCATATTGAAGTGCAGAAGAATATAAAGGAAAAAATAAGATAAAAAGAAGAAAAAATGAGCTCCTTCAATTTGGGCAGGAGCAACCTTCGATTTTCATTCTGCTGGCCTCCTTCGATTGGGACCAGCACCAGTGAGGTTCTGTCCTTCGACTGGCTTGGAAGTCAGTGTATGGCGAAGCCTTCTGGTTCTGCCTTATTGTCTTCTTTGACTGGAGGTTGAAAGCAGTGAGGGAATGCCTTTCGACTGAGCCTGGAAGCCAGTGTATGGTTTTCCTCCTGGTTGTCTCTTTCGTTCGATCTGGAGAAAGAGGATAAAAGCCAGAAGCTTCGTTTCCTATTTCCTGTTTCCTGTTTCTTTCATTTAAAGCATTAAATGGCAACATGGCCTGAGGCCATGCTAGTATTTGTTTGGTAAAAAGTTTAACAGTTAAAGCAAGTTCAGGTAAACAGAAAGCAAAAACGAAAGGGTTAGCTCTGAAAAATATGTTAAAAGGGTGGAAACGAAAGGAACAATGGTATGTACATGTTTCAAACGAAAGGGAAAATTATTATGCCATGAAACGAAAAGTTCAAAGGTAAGAATAACTTACCTTGCTTCAGGCCTTGAATGGATGTGGGATTCGAACTTGAACTGCTACCTGGACGTTTCTGGAATTTGAAAATAGTCACAGGGAGTTTGCTTTTGGTTCGAAGAGTTGTCATAGAAGGTTGTCTTTGAGTTTGAACAAACTTCTATGTGTGGGGTGTTCTTCAGAATCGAAAGAGGCGAGTGTTTGGGATTCTGGGTTTTGATTTCTCAAGTGTTGATGAACTTGAGAGTTTTGTTGTGTTTGAGAAAATTTGGGAGATTCGTTCCTCTGGTCCAAAGATCCTCCCCTAGTTTTATAAATGTTCCTCTATTTATAGAGAAAGAATGGACATGTTGTCCAAAGCCAACCTTGCAAATAAATGATAAAATAATGTAACGTGAAAGTACATGTGAGGGGCCTCTTGGCAGTTGGGGTGCAGAAGATGGTTACTTTGTCCCATCGAAACTTGTCCAAATGAAGCAAGCATGCATGCAGGCAGCAAACTTGTCCAGTCGAAGCAGGCTTGTAGGCAGTAAACTTGTCCAAATCGAAGTAGGCTTTGCAGGAAGCACGCTTGGTGAATCGAAAAGGTTTCCTTACAGGGGGCATGTGTGGCCAACATGTCATGGCCTTTGATTACAACCATGTAGGCAGCACACTTGTCCAAGCAAAAGGCTGAATCGAAGGAGGTTTCAAATTCAAACGAAGGATGTACCTAAGTTGCATTCGAAGGAGGTTTCAAATCCAAACGAAGGATGTACCTAAACTGGCATTCGAAGGAGGCTTTAAGTTCAAAATGAAGGATGTAATCCAAGTTGCATTCGAAAGAGGCCAAGAGTCAATCGAAGGGTATTGAATCGAAAGAGACCTGTTTTCCTCCAAATTTGTCAAAATGTTATTTTTATCTGTTTTCTCCATTTTTGACAGTTTCCTTTTAATTTTGGTATTGGAAAATCCAAATGCACTTGTTCAAGCTTGAACCTTGAAAATCCTTGTAAGAAAGGCCTTGAGAATTGAGAGGGCAAATTTTGGAGTACAACAACAAAGTTAATATGTCCTAAAATCTAGCTAGTTATTGAGAAGCATAAGAAGCAAGCATAAGGGTGGAGTCCTACATGACATAGTGATAATGACCTATCCATATTTGGTGTCACCAATGGCAATGATACTTATTATGTTTATCTTAAGAAGGAAACTTGCTCATGTAGGAAGTGGGAACTGACTGGTATACCTTGCAACCATGTAATTGCATGCATTTGGAACATCAAGAAAAAGCCTGAGGATTATGTTGTTGCATGTTATAGGTATGACTGTCATAAGTATTGAATACAATTATTGATTGTTATAAGTATTGCATACAATTATTGATTGTTATTGTGTGAATTGTTAACTGTTATGGTTGAAACATGAAATCTACTTTTATGGAGACTTACTCCCATATTGTGTATCCAACCAATGGACCATAATTATGGCATGTGGGTGATCAGAATCAAGTTGAATCACCCGTTATGAGAAGAGCAATAAGAAGGCCAAAAAAAACAAAGGAACAAAACAAATGATGAACTAAGGAATCCTTACATATTGCCAAGGAGGATTTCCACTGTCATATGTGTAAAGTGTGGTGCTATGAAACATAACAATAGGAGCTGCAAAGGTAAAAAGGGTTGCAGATATAGTAATTTCAAAGGGTGGCAATAAACCAAAGAAGGCTAAGAAAGTGAAGGCTAAGGCTAAGAAAGTGAAGATTAAGGAGAAGCAAATAGAAATTAGTCAAAGTTCACAAGCTCTTCAACCTACTCGAGAGTAGTGTATTTTAGGTCTAAGTAGTAATATATGGTTATATTTTGTGAAAGCAATGTAAAGGTAGTTATGTAAAATTATACTGATGTTTTATTTTGACTAAAGTTGTATGTTGAGAGACACATTAGACAAAAATTACATTTAAACTTTTTTTTAAATTATATTTTACCTCATATTCCATTTCACCAAATTTCACTTCAACTCATTTTTTGTCAAACATTAACATTAACACAACAGTGACAAGAAAACACCGAACAAAAACTCACATGAAAAACATAGTTCCTAGATTCTCCATACCTCCATGGATCACACGCCATTTTCTTTCTCGTAGCTATACAACTAAAACCCTTCATGTCCATGATAAAATCAATATTTTACACACACAGTTTCAACCAGACGGGTTTGATTCAACCACTTTCGATGTTGCCTGCAACATGTTTGATGAAATGTCTGACTTAACCGTTCAATCAGCTACCAATATAATTTGTGGTTTCTCCAGGCGGCATTTCCATGAAGATGCTATTTATCTTTTTTCGCGAATGTTTGCACCAAAGATTAGACCAAATGAGTTCACTTTTGGAACTGTGCTTCACTCTTCGACCCGGCTTGGAAATGTTGTTGTTGGAAAACAGATTCATGGCTGTGCTGTTAAAACTGGTTTTGTCAGTAATGTGTTTGTTGGTAGTGCACTTGTTGATTTGTACGTAAAGTTGAGTGCTATAGAAGAAGCACAAATGGCTTTTGAGGATACTAAATATCCTAATGTAGTGTCTTATACGACGTTGATTGGTGGTTATTTGAAGACACATAAGTTTGATGATGCTTTAACGATTTTCCATGAGATGCCAGAGAGGAATGTTGTCTCGTGGAATGCGATGGTTGGTGGGTTTAGTAAAACGGGACATAACGAAGAGGCTGTGAGATTTTTTATTGACATGCTTAGAGAAGGGTTTGTTCCTAATGAATCTACGTTTCCTTGTGTGATTTCTGCAGCTTCGAATATAGCTTCACTTGGAATTGGGAGAAGTTTTCATGCGTGTGCAATCAAGTTTTTGGGTAAGCTTAATGAATTTGTTGGGAATTCGCTTATTAGCTTTTATGCAAAGTGTGGAAGCATGGAAGAAAGCCTCTTAGTGTTTGACAAGATTTATAAAAGGAATGTAGTGTCATGGAATGCTTTGATATGTGGTTATGCGCATAATGGAAGAGGCATTGAGGCAATAAGCTTGTTCGAAAGAATGTGTTCTGTAGGCATCAAGCCGAATAGGGTATCCCTATTAGGACTACTATTGGCTTGTAATCATGCCGGACTTGTTGACGAGGGTTACTCGTATTTCAATAAAGCTAGGATTGAGAGTCCCGATTTGTTAAAACCTGAGCATTATGCTTGCATGGTTGACATGCTTGCTCGCTCTGGACGTTTTACAGAAGCTCAGGGCTTCATTCATCGTATGCCTTTCAATCCAGGAATCGGATTTTGGAAGGCAATACTTGGGGGATGTCAAATCCACCATAACCTGGAGTTAGGGGGGCTTGCAGCAAGAAGTATTTTGGCGTTGGATCCTGACGATATATCGTCATATGTAATGTTGTCGAATGCTTATTCTGCAGCAGGTAGGTGGTCAGATGTGTCAAGATTAAGGACAGAGATGAAGGAAAAAGGGATGGCAAGGATTCCAGGTAGCAGTTGGATTGAAGTCAGCGGCAAAGTTCACGCCTTTCTTAAAGCAGACGAGAATCATAATAAAAATGATGAAATTTATGTGATCCTAAGCATTTTCTTTGTGCATTTAAGAGAAAATGAGAGTTCTGATTGGCTCAACAATTATTTTGATTTCAGTGCTGTATAAGTAATGAGCATAGTTTTATTTGATACTCCCTCCGTTTCATAAAAAATATCTTATTTGAGTTGTGCGCAGTTCTTAAATGGCAACAGCCCAAAGCTTTTGTCTGAAAAATAGAAGAGTGTGCTGTACAAATAACATAAACCATAGCAAATTCCTAATGTATATACCTTCAAGACTCAATCATTTTTACACACAAAGTTTATGCAATCTTCCTAAACATGATGTTCTGTGTTTTGAGTAACTAACAGTTCCCTACAAGTTTTATGAATCCTACACAAGCTAAGATAAAAAACATGTCTAGTTTCATTGTTCATCTAGGACTCAATTCAGACAAGGTTACTTCATTGGCAGAGATAGAAGTATTTGATGAAGACTCTCGGTCAACAACAGCCCGTTCGACGACAGCTCTTCCAACAGAAAATGCAGGGCGTGTAGGATCGGGGAGAGTCAGTGTGTCACTTACAAGCATGTGAACAACACTTGACATTGTAGGTCTATCTGCTGCATCTTCTTGTACACACAATAGTGCAATATGTATACACTTCAGATATTCACCAGGTACGCATGTCTTTTCTATCAATGGATCCATCAACTCTATTTCTTTTCTTTCACGCCAAAGGTTCCATGCCTATAATTATACATGCATTAGATTTAAGTTGCAACTATTTTTTTCTTTAGAAAAAAAGTGAATGCAAGCATATATTATGAACTTACATATACGAGAAGGCTCAGTCCATCCTCTGAAAGATAGAATTTGCTGCTTTTTCTTCCACTGATGATCTCTAGCAAAAGAACACCAAAGCTGAAAACATCTGACTTCACCGAAAATAATCCTTCCATAGCATATTCTGGAGCCATGTATCCACTGCTCAAAATCAATGTATCAGTAAAATTCAACTGACTAGAATTGAAATTACCCTTCACTTTTTTTTTCTTTCCTTCCGATAAAACATAACATCTTTTAGCAAGAGAAAATAGTTTTTCGTTAAAGATGTAAGATTTTAACTGTATGACTTCATTCGATAAAACTTGCCTTTCTTATTAGTCCATGTGAAATATGCTATTAAAATTTGATGCTATACTTCATGTGAGGAAGTATACATTATCGAACTAATAAAAGAAAGCAAACTAGTTTATACTTACTAAGTTCCTACGATTCTAATTGTACTTGCTTCATCCTGGTCTCCTCCAAATATTCTTGCTAGTCCAAAGTTTGAGATTTTCGGATTCATTTCATGATCTAACAGTATATTGCTAGCCTTCAAGTCTCTATGAATAACTTTGAGCCTAGAGTCTCTATGAAGATATAGAAGCCCTTTTGCAATCCCATTAATAATACTTAATCGTTGTTTCCAATCTAGTTGTGCACCCTTCACCATATCTGATGAAAATATATATACGGGACATATTCAAACAGTTAAAAAAATGACGAGAAAGGTAATTGAAAGCATGTTCATTGTTGGGGAGTCATACCGAATAGGTGGAAATCAAGGCTTGAATTAGGCAAGTATTCATAGATAAGAAGCTTTTCATTTTGCTCAATGCAGCAAGCCAATAGTCTCACAAGGTTCCGATGCTGCAGTTTGGCAGTCAATATTGTTTCATTTTTTAATTCCTCCACACTTTGAACTGATGTTTTTGAAAACCTTTTAACAGCAATTTCCTTTCCATCAGCTAAAACACCCTAAAACATTTTTCAAATTTTGTGTAAGAAAGTTGTAAGGGAAGAAATCTAACAAATAAAATATATCAACTGTTATGTATGTTAATCTAGTTTATTACCTTGTAAACAGTTCCAAATCCACATTTCCCTAATTTATATTCATCACTAAAATTGTTCGTACTTTTCAGAATAGTACTCAAAGGCATCATAGATAGGTCACTATTTCCAGTTTCCTCGATGTCAGACTGATCTTGAGAAAAGATTGGACTAAGGTTTTGCATATAGTTTCTTCTATCTGAAAAGATGGAATTATTAGAATACATACAAGAATAAGGGAGTTGTTAGGATGGGGAAGTGTCACATGTAACCTACGGTGAATTGATGCTTGAAACTTCGTCGTAGACCTTTAAACTAAAGTTCGGGGTTCTCCACGTCATTAGGAAAGAGAGTGACCAGATGATGCTAATTCACAAAATCAAGATGTTTTCCTTGTTTTTTGCTGAACCTGCACCGCTTGGATCACCCTCTTATCCTAAAGACGGATAATCCCATGAGTTTCTACTTGCGGAAATCAGCATTGATCATTCTTAGAGTTTCAAATAACTTTCAAGCATCGGTTCACATAGGCCATGTGAGACATTTTTCCATGCTAAAAGCCACCTTTAATTGTTGAAAGTCTCAGATTTAAGAACTGTTGAGATTTAGTGCTTACTTTTTCTATGCTTTAAGCCGCATAAATAGTATGCGCTCAAAGCGAGTAGAGCTGCTACTACTGTTCCGATTACTACAATGACTATTATGATCCATGACTTCGTTCCGTCCTTTTCTTTGGCTGCAATAACAAGACAGGACAATGTTAAATGGAGTGGAAACACTTGTCATTTTAGGGCTTACGTAGATAATTCGTTATGGAGTTTGCCCCAGATTATTTTAGGCCTTAGAAAGAGAAATAGAATCATACCTTGTTGAGGCGCAGGAGCATTAGAATCATTTAGAAAGAATGGCTGAGTTTCATACATCATAATACAACTTGGAGAAAAAACTCTCCACACTTTCTTCTCCTCGCAACAATTCTCAACATCCTCGAGCATATTACTCAAACAAGTTCCACATTCCTCACTAGTAATATCTCTACTACACTGTACCCAACCATACCTTCTTTGAGTACCATTTATGTTAAACATATGTGTACCAAACATCAAAGGTGTCTGTGACCCCATCTGTATCAAACCATTCATCAAAATCCTTGCATCACTATCAAATTCACCGGCACTAGTTAAATTTTGTGTTGCATCAAACATAGGAATCCTTGGTCTTATAGTAAGGTTACTAAAGAAATTCTGATTTGAGTACCTTAAAAGACAAAAAGGGTACCACAAAATTGCTGAAGCATTATTAGGACAGTGTTGTTTCAGCAATCTGCTAGAGTTTTGGACACATGAATGGCAAAGACTTGTATTAACATCGCCGCGACACAGGTATTGCCCGTAAACTATATTGTTTTGATCACTACCTGAAGTCTTATTTCCAAAACCATTACTTGTTGCAGAATCTGATGACAATGAAGAGATTAAACTGTTGAGGTTGGTTTGATATGTTGTAGAGGGAGGAGTAGAAGATTGGTCCAAACAATCATATCTATAATCAAGTAGTTCTTGTGAATTGGTGTTGGTTTGGCCTACAGCAAAATAGAAAAGGTATATGAATTTGATGGTAAATAACCATAGATGAAACATTCTTCTGCTACTATAGTCACTTTTTCTGATCATTATAGTTTATATGTGATGACACATGTGCCTTAAAGGCATTGATTTCATGATAGTATATGATTTATGAAACAATTAATGTGGATGTAACATACACTTTCTTATGTTAAAATAATCATAAAATGGCTGCCATGCAGTGTAAAATTTCTGACCATGAAACCCAGAATATTGAAGAATATTGCTAAACTTGGACTTAATCAAAATAATATTGTTTAACACAACCTTGCAAGTGGTGATTTATTTAGTTTGTATTATTGTTTAAATTGAAAGAGTCTCATTCATATCAGAAAACGTGTTTGGGGGTGGACCGTGGAACTGAGAAATTGATATTGAAAAGTGAATGAGATAAGGAAGAGTCCAAATTAAACCCCAGGGGTTCGTTCCGAAGACTTGTGTTTTAAGAGTGTGTTTAGGTATCAGGTTCAAATTCCGTCATGTACAAATAATTTATGAGTTGAGTCACGTCTATATAGAGTTTTTGCTTTGGTTTTAAACGGTCATTCATAGATAGACGGTGAAATTGATTATCTTGGATCAGTCGCAAAACCGGATGCCAAGATTTGAAAAAGGAAGAGTCCAATTCGAAGTATTATAAAGAATTTGTCAACTTTTAAGCCTACATAAAAGAAGAGTAAAACATTTCTGAGTCTCCATTAGCCTAGTTAATAATTGAGTTTACTTTAATCAAATGACTTGTATGTTAACATCAATATGTCATGAATGAAGTGTTTCAGGTTTTTGGTCACCAAACTTACCCATTTCTACACCTTTTTAATATTATTTTTGCTTTGAATATGACTAGCTACCGCCTCATCCAAAGAAGACAAAAGAAATAATAAAAATACAATAGATGTCTATACCATTTAGAGATTAAACAAAAATAATAAAAAAAACAGACACACAAACATGGTTAAGACAATGACTAGATATGGCTTCTATGTGTTTGTTTGGATTGCTTCTACAAATTTCAAAAGCACACTTCTAATTCACTTCAACTTGAAAATTAATTTTTTTTCGTTTGGATTTTTTTCCAAAATCAATTTTCCTCTTTCAAGAGAAATTAATTTACCACCCCTCATATTACACATGGCACCCCCCTCTAAATGGTATGAAAAAACTAAATTGTCTAGACTCAAATTATTCAACATTGATTTCAAATTCACGTTGACAATTGAATTTTTAAAATTTTTGGGTGATATCGAAAATTTCGAAGGCGATACTAGAAATTTTGCGAACAAGGGAGAATTTACGGTAGATTTGTGAAATTTTCGATACTTTGTACCGGAATTTTCAAAATATCTGGTATTTTCATACCGGAAATTTTGAAATATCTGGTATTTTCATTTATACCGGAAATTTTAAATTTTTTGGTGCGTCACATAATACCGGAAATTTTGAAATTTCTGGTAGTTCAATTTTTTTTGAAAAATTATTAGAAATTTAAATTTTTTCCCGATATTTTATATTTTCTTGATATTTTCTTATTTTGCAGTGAGGACCAGAGACAAAGATGGTTCTATTGCGGGATAGAACACTAATAGAGCTAATGTTGAAGCTCGTGCTGACGAAGCACAAGCTTTAGAGCTACAGGCTGGACGTCATCCTTCGACCAGTTCTCACCGGAAACGGATGACTGAGCAGAATGTGCAGTTTCGCGCACCCTGTCGTTGGGATCATAGAGTATCCACTGCGGAGGTATTGGATCCTACTGAGGAGGTGTAGGCTCCTACTCCGGAGGTACAGGCTCCTACTGAGGAGGTACAGGCTCCCGCTCCTATTGTGGAGTCGATAGTTGAGGAGCACATTGTGGAGTCTGTGGTGTGGAACCTGAGCAGGAGGTTGTTGTTGATCGAGTTGATGAGGTGTCCCCCGCTGATACAGACGCCACGACTCGCGCGTCTACAGAGCCATTAGTACACACTGATGGAGGTTTCCCTGGAGGACCTTCAGACAGGTCCATGCTGACAGGATTTGTGGACCATGTCGCTTATAGGATATGGCAAGGCGAGGTATATATTTTTTGTTTTGTTTAATTGCAAAAATTTTATTTTTCCTTACAAGATTTGATGTATAATAATTTGTTTTTGCTTCTTACACGAGCGCCTGGTGTTGAAGGTCGCTTCTCATGATTCGAAGTTGAAGAACTTCCCTGAGAGTCTCATGTCTGAGGAGGTGAAGAGGATCGTTAGCGAGTACCATCTCCTAGAGTTTGCTGGTTTCTCCTTGACCATATTGGACGCCTCTCTTTTATCAACTTTTGTTGAGAGGTGGCACTCAGAGACATCATCATTCCATCTTTCATTTAGGGAGATGACGCCGACTTTAGATGATGTAGACACCCTCATTTATATTCCGATTGCTGATACATTTTTTACACATGTTTATAGGGATCAGGCGATAGCCACGTGCATGGCTATGGAGGATTTTGAGTGTTCTGAGGCGGAGGTGCTAAAGGAGTTTGGTGAGACTCGGGGATTTCACCTTCGAATGTCTTGGCTAAGGAGTTTGTATAAAGATCTTGTGGAGGCACATAGGTACGAGGCTGCTTGCGGACAAGTCTGGAGTTTATATTGATGTTCGATACTTGTTTCTCTTCAGCGCACTTGACACTCTATGTTGGGCTTGGGGAGTGGCGTCATTGACCATGTTATACATGACACTTGCCGTTGCTTCTCGTCCTGAGACCAGACAGCTTGCTGGTTACCTCAGCTTGTTCCAAGTAAACTATAATTTACTTGTTGGTTTTTATTAATTATTTGTGTGTATTTATTTGTTGGTTTTTATTTATGCAGTGTTGGATATACGAGCACTTCTCTCACATCTGTGAGCAGAAGATCCAGCGTGTCACGATACCTGAGCCATGTGCGAGGAGATGGAATGCCAAGCAAGTCATTCCATAAGGTTTAATGGAGTACTTGAGGAGGCTTGACGCTCTGACCTTGGATGATGTTGTCTGGACACCCTATACATCTCATCGCCCTCATCGTATATCTGAGATATCTACTTTATATTCAGGGTATATTGGATGGCAGATCCATGTGGCTAGACACTTGCCTGAGAGGTGTCTATGCCAGTATGGTTATGTACAAGACATCCCTCGTTCAGTTCCAGCGTCTCCAGCTGGTGGAATTGATAGATGGTTTCAGAGTCACATTCTCACCTCCCCTTGTGAGATCATGGATACAGTCGTCGAGGTTCAGCAGCCTGGGCAGTGCGAGGATGTATACCTGGAGTAGTTTCACAGTGTGACACCCTCGGGTCATACCACCGACTGCAATATCTGATGTTCTGAGGCCTTCTAGTGCTAGCCCATCTACCAAGCCACCACCACCACCACTATCACCGGCAGGAGATCAGGACAACCACCTCCAATTTATTGAAGTTCATGCTGGCAGTCTCATGGGTTTGATAAACCTAAATGGTGAGATCTATAGAGGTTTAGCTAGGTTAATCGACGTAGCTCGTGGATGGCCCATGTAGATCTATTTTATTTTGGTTGTATTATGTGCATATTTTGTGACAAACAAACTTATTATTTGTTGCATAATATTTTGGTGAAAACCTAAAAAAGTACAACAAACATAAACCAAAAACAACTAAACAAGAAAACCTAGGCACTACCAGATAATTCTGTACGTTTCAGACACTTCATTACGTCGTCGACGGATCTTCAGATATGCATATCTAACTCGATCGGTCCTTTAGTTATCCTACGAAGAAATTATTTCCACATGGCCTTCACATATTCATCATTCTTCAACTCGATTAGGTTATATTTCACCCTTCCATTTGTATCAATCCAATCCTCCTGAAACTCTACCTTTGTCACCCTTCTGTTATCGGAATCAGACAACAAATTATTTAACGTTTCTTTTAAGGTGGCAAAGGATTCGGAGACATCTAGAAGTTTGAATTCAACAAGAGGGTTGTTGTCGTTGTAATACACTTCTGCTTTAATCTGAAATTGAGGAAGAGGTGTTTTTTGAGTTGTATTTTCTCTATAACAAATGCCCTTATTTATATAAATGATGATGCATTCTAGACCACATAAATGTGTCAGTGCAATTAGAACCATCCAAATATGTCGGCATAATCTCAGTCATTCAAAAAACCATATTTTTAATACTACCAAAAATTTCAAATTAATTGAAATTCCAGGAACACCGAAAATTGTAAGTACACTATCGCAAATTTTATAGGGATATACCGAAAATTTAGGTGGTACCCGAAATTTCAATCCTTCTACCAAAAACTTCGTCCGGAAATTGTGTTCAACTCATCCAAGGATAAAAGTGAAATAAAAAAATTGGGGGATGTCATGTATAATTTTGGGGGTGGCATATTAAATTCTCCTCTTCCAAAAACAATTCTCTTAGAAACTACAATTTCTAGCTTTTGAATTTAGTAGAATCAATTCTCTATTTATTATATTTTATTTGTTTACAACTCCTTTTAATTTTTCTTCTTTATCCTCTTTAATTTTTATCAATTATTTCTTTTTTTTTTCTTTTTTTTTATTAAAATTTATTGTTATTTTAGTAAGGGTTAAATATGTTTTTAATCCCTGTAAATATATCAAAATTCGGTTTTAGACTCTGAAACATTTTTGTTCAAAGAATCGTCCCTATAAAGTATTTTGTCCCTATTTTTCATTCATGTCGTCAATTTCATTTAACGGACACTGACGTGGATGATGAGTTAGCATTTTTTTATTTTTTTTAAGTTGTTATGTTGAGTAATCGAATGCCACATTATTAACATCATTTTGGCACATTAAAAAAAGTCTTATATGCATTTAGAGTAAAGATAGCAACACAAAGGAGTTTTTCGTTGAAGGAAACCCTAGTAAAGTCCATCTCCTTCCACTGTTAGGTATGTCCTTAGAAGGAGGTGAATGCTCGCTCCATACTTCCATCTTTATTCGTCCATTCAAGTGTTACAGTTGGTTCAATATTCTAATCATCACATAT